CTTAGCGCTCACTTTCAAAAAATGAGAAGGTTTTTATTAGAAATTAGTTCGAGGAGGGCCTAGCAATTGTATTGTTCGACAGCCTCCTGCGCGTCTTCGATGGGGATTCTGCGAGATATTGGTCGCAGAGAGGTACGGGTCGTAAATTGGGTTTTGTGAAAAGGTAAAACCGTGTCTGATGTTTCTGGCAGGCTTGGCTTGCCTAGTAGTGTGTTTGAGTTTTTTTTCTCAGATTTTTCACTGGTTTCGCCTACCATTTGTATGTCCCCTCACCTTGACGTTCTGTGGCACTTCCTAGCCCAGTTCACCTAAGGTCCTGGTGTGAATGCTGCGCACGTGACGAAAACTGCATTTTTCCTTGCTGCAACGCGGGTATAACAATCCCCTCCTTTGTAACCCTGCACACATCCCGTGATTATTCAAATGTTCAGCTGATAGATTTTGTTATATTCAAATCTTCAATTATGCGATGTTTGAAACTTGCACCTTAGAATCTCTCATTTCTTTCAGTGGCAATGCTTTCAATTCCAATGATTTGTTATAACATTTTTTTTAAACTGCATAGACGAGGTTGCTATGAAGGCTGACGTTTCGGCGGTTTCGCCTTCTTCGGAGCCTGAAAGGGAATTATGATCTCCGACTCAGCATTAAACGCACTCCTTACCCTTTCGACCCCACTAAATTCAGCACGTAATACGAGTGAAACAGCCAACATACCTCAACCGGATTCACCCGGATCAAACGACGGGCTTCGTGAGTGAAGTTTTCGAACTGAGACTAAGCTTAAATGCTAATTTTAATATCAGTAGAGATAGGCTCTCGCGGGTGTTGATAACATTCTCCACTGCAGTTCATTCTCCAGGATCCTAACCTGAGAATCCAGAATGTTTCGAAAGAGTTTCTTTCGCGGCGAAAGTGCGGTTCCTTTCGCGCTCTAAAACCTGCTAAACCGTGACTTCCAGAATCGTCTCCGCTGTGGTCTTGTACCCCTGTGACATCCTGATGGTCAAACCGCAGTCATAGACTGTTCATCGCGCCTGCCTTGAGTCCGCACATGGAGTGGCCTAGCCGTTTCACCAATGTATTCATCTCCACAAGTTAAACAGGAGATCTTGTAGACCACACCTGCGACTATGCAGTCTCCTTCCCTGCCAGCAGGGCAAACTACACAATCAGGGGTTACACATGTGCGTCGTAGAGGCGGTTTCGAACTAGGTGACGTTTTAGATTATTAGGAGAACCCTCTAATAAACCAACAATGTTGATCCGGTGAATCCGGTTGAGGTATGTTAGCTGTTTCACTCGTATTACGTGCTGGACTTAGTGGGGTCGAAAGGGTAAGGAGTGCGTTTGGTGCTGGTCGGAGATCATAATTCGGTTTGACCCTTTCAGGCTCCGAAGAAGGTGAAACCGGACCCTCAACTTGCACGCTATACCTCGTCATATGTCAGTTAAAACGTCATAACAATATATAAAAAGCAGATGCCGAGGTTAAGATGAGAGTCGGACTTGGGATTTACTTCAGAATGTACCAAAGATTTGTTTCCCATGTAAGAACCCTAAAACCCTAACACGTCAGTCACTGTTGATAAGAGCATCGCCAAGCGGGAACGAGTAATTCAATGATAGTACTTGTGTGACAGTATAGAGTGCTGTTTTTCAATTGGTACCACTGTAGTCAACCATTTTTTTTTTTCAGACGTCATCTCCATCACAACAGCAGTTCTCGGTGCATCGCACGCGAAATTGAGCCATCAAGGTAAAGTTCCTTGTTGTGAGAAGGCTCAATATTTCTGTACCATTCCGTTTGTCTGGAATGAACGTGCGCCGTCCATTCGTGTAAGAGACGCAGCTTCTCTTCGAATATCACGAACTCTTTGCACAGAAAAAAATATTTTTGATTGTATGTTTCATGTTATGAAAGTTCCACAAGCAGGTATTACATGTCTTGAGATTATTAGTGGGCGCAGTTCGGCGACGGGAAAGGGATTTTGCAGTTTCGCTGCTTCTCCCTGTCGTGTTGAGTCATAGATTCGTGAATCTGGTGGTATCGGTCAAAGTTAGTGGAAACTATTTGTCAGCTCTTGTAAAGAATACCCTGTTGAACCTCGCGAAGCAATAAATACGACAACGGGAAGCAACGAAAGTCAGTGCCGCCCCTCCCTAACTGCGCCCATCACTGGTTCTGTCAACTTTGCTTCATATCGTTAATTAATTTCCATGGAATTCTAATAGAGGGGAAGTGCTTTCAAACCAATTAAGAGATAAGTGTTGCAAAAGGGGCAAAAGCAACAGCTGTATCGCGTAATTTTTCGCGCACGTTATCGTGCGCGTATTTGCGACATCGCGAATAGATGCCCCTCATAAGGACAAAGGATAAAGTCTTCGCCGTTGTTTAGTCTCTTTGTGAGATGCGGTACGCATTCTAAGTGCATTTGGAATCGTAAAGGCCTATTGAATGCGATGTAGCCCTTACAATGATTTGCGGGGCCAGCCGATGTGCAAGTAGTGTCAGTGTAACTATCCTCCCAAACGAATCTGGTACCAATTTACAATCCCGCAAGGGTACAAGGCTTGGTTTGCCTGAGCGTTATATTAGGTTGTCCGGAAAGTTCTCAGCGTTTTGGGTGTTTCACTTTAAACGATCGTAACTTTTTAATACTCATCGGATTTAATCGAAATAGGCACCATTCGAATCAGCACACTTTTGCCAATGTGACAGCAGTCGAGAAATCCCATCAAAGTAAAAAACTGGGTGGTCGAAAATTCACGAAATCCACGAAGGCTTTTTTGCCTGGTCCTGTTTGATGAAGTATTTCCCAGCAAGGAAGTTCTGAAAATGTTTGAAAAGGGAATATTCGGTTGGTGGAAGGTCTGGAGAATATGGCGGTTGAGGTAGAACTTCAACCCCCAATTCGTTCAATTTATGGATAGTGATTTGTGAAACGTGTGGGCGGGCGTTGTCATGCAAAAGAATCGGACCCTTTCTTTTGATAAGTGTTGGCTGCAGCTGACAATATTTTCGGTACATTTGGTCGGTTTAGTAGGGTTCTGCTGTGATGGTTTGGCCTGGTGATAAAAAGTTATAGTGGATCACACCAGCCGACCACCAAGACGTGACCAGAATCTTTTTTCGTGAGGGTTCGGCTTTGAAAATTACCTCGGTGGTTCGTCGAAATCCAACCACTGTCCGGAACGTCTCCTGTTATCATACATGACCCATTTTTCATCACAGGTGACAATTCGGTCCAAAAACAGGTCGTTTCTGCCGGTCACTCCGATTGTGGGGCACCCAATTGTCGAGTTTTTTCACCTTCCCAATGCGTTCCAGACCATCTGCAACAGTGGATTTGCCAACGCCTAGCTCTTCTGCTATCTCTCGAACTGTTTGGGATGGGTCAGCCTCCAAAATCCCCTAAAATCCTCGTCAGATATTGCTTTAGGTCGACCGCTATGAGGTTCATCTTCAAGGCTGAAATCTGCAGAATCCACACCTGGTTAATTTGTTGAGCTGTTTCGATTGGCCGAATACGTGCCGACCAATTTATAGTCGAAGAAAAAAATCGTCCGAAGTGCTCTTTTCACATGCTTGAAAAAATCTTGAAAAAAGGGGGTTTATCAAGCAATGGTGAAACGGCAATTATACCATCAGATAGCGCAAGAAATTCTCTACAGGATGTGCTACTGAGAAGCAAGGCAGAATGAGTTTTTAATCAGCAGTGAATGTACAAAAAATAGGTGCACAAAACGCTGAGAACTTTCCGGACAACCTAATAATAGACCCAGGACGTGCGCCAGCTATGGCAGCGTTAGACTTGTAGCGCTACAGCTGTACCGAACTCCAGCTTTTATGTTTTTTCTTTCTGTATTCAACCCTCTTCTCTTTGTTTTTCTCATATTTATCTGATAGTGAGCTCCTGTTTTCTACTTTATCACATTTTAATGTAGTTTTTGATACAGAAGACTGTGATAATTGGTTTTATTTATCGTTTTTGACTTTAATTATTTGGTTTCAGAGTTGCTATTGATGTTTGATGGCTTTGCTTGATGTCTTGCAGTGGTGCCTCACGTTGACTCCGATGACGAAATTGTTTTTGGCATCCACGTACAGTGTAAAGTAGAAAACAGGAGCTCACTATCAGATAAATATGAGAAACAAGAGAAGAGGGTTGAATACAGAAAGAAAAAAACATAAAAGCTGGAGTTCGGTACAACTGTAGCGCTACAGCTGTAGCGCGACGCTGTAGCGCTACAAGTCTGAACCTTCCTATCACTACACCCTAAGTGAGCCTGATACTCCAGAAAATACGGTTTTTTGTTATGACTTTGAATTGTAAGGACTGTATCATATGAAATGTCCCATATTTAGCCGTGCGTTGATCCCGTTGTCATTTCGCCATATAGCACTGGAATAAATTCAGTTAATGTGAGTTCTTGTTACAGAAGGTATTCCTCGCTGAAGATGATGGGGTGTGTCAGTAAGGCTGGGTTTACCGCACTGCCAGCCCATTTTCTACCAGTTCTTGAAGCGTGTAGGCGTTGGATTAAAACGGTGGATGCGAATGATATAGAGGAAAAAAGCGGGCTGGGGTTGCGCGAAACCAAACATCTATCATCTCTATCATCCGCAGCGAACGAGAATGTAGATAACGTTATAACCGTTGATACAGTAGTGAAAGCATTTCTTTTTAGGCTGGAAATGGTGGAGTTTCTTCACTGTGTCCTCCGCCACCACCACCTCCTAAACGGTGTGTTTTGAGTTTTCTTAGATTTTTTTTCTACTTGGTTTCCTCGAGAACCTTGCTCAACACAGACACAGAAACGGATATCAGCCGAATTCTGATGAGTTTAAGGGATTTTTGTCGGATTTTTGCCAACTTATGTTTTTGCAAAGCAGTCTTATTCTTGTTTTTTATTGAGCATTCGATTATATGTGTTGTTAGCGCGAATTCTAAAGCTCTGGATTCATGTGGGAATATTTTATTTAATCTCGCTTCAGGATGAATCGACCCCGTGGACCACGAACACCTCCAATGCCACCGTGTGAAGAAGAAGTACCACCTCCACCTATTGTACCTCCTCCGTTGGCAGCAATGCCGCCTGCAGCTTACCCTCCTCAGGTGGCGGTTGTTCCACCGTCACCATATGGTGCCCCTCCCCCAATGTAATTTTTTTTTCAATTTTTTTTCTCTTTAGCAGTGATGCTAATTAATTTTTTTGTAACTATACTGACATTTTCGTTCTGACTAAATCATCCACGTTCAGGATGTCTTTTCCGCCTTTCTATCCTCCACCCATGTTCTTCCCGGGATGTCCACCTATCCCGCCGATGCCGATGATGCCGCAGTGTTCGTGTTTATTCAGTTTCATCAACTTTTTTGTTATTCTTTATTCTTTTAAGGTTTTCTGGAAAGTTTTGAGTGTTTCCCGTCAGGCCTTAAGCCTTTTTAATTACTGTATGATGCTTGGATCAGTGTCATAGTCAACATTTCCTTTTTTATTTCCCTTGAAAATGAACCCCGCGATTGCATATTGTATAAAGGGGCTTTCAGTTGCAAATCTAGGTCACTAAATGACTCTAATGGGAAGAAAAAAGCAAAACAGAATCACGGAGAACTGAGTAAGGACCCCTCCCGATTCACTGTGCGAGTTCTCGAACCTGCTCGTTTCATGCCAGCAAAATATCCTACCGCTTCTGGCTCACATAACGTTTGCTCGTGTCGTCCAGTGGTAATATCATCAATTAGTGAAAAAATCGAAAAACGCGGTATAAAAACTGAACTCGTGATAGAACATAGCCCTTGTATTTCGATGGGCGGGGCAACCAGGGAGGCGTCAGAACTGCCACTCATGAGGGCCCGCAGCGCCTTCTCTTACTTCCTGTGAAGTCGCGAAAGTTAGACGATCTCAGAAGTGAGGGAGCGACATTTTCTCAAAACTTTCCGGTCAACCTTATAGTTTCATTTGGTCTAGCAAATTTCGGGTTTAATGCAATCTGATATATGGTGATTTTCAGCCATGATCCAACCCACAATACCACCTGCTTCGGCGCAAGTGAAACTAACTATTTCCGACTTTCCTGTTCAAAAACCAGTCAAGAAAGAAGTTGTGAGTTTCATTTTTTCTTGCCTTTTCTGTAGGCTTGCCAGTACTTGGAGATATCGGTAGTTCCCTTAGCTTTAATACCTAGTATTTTCCTAATTGGAAAAAGATATCGGATAGTTCCCTTAGCTTTAATACCTAGTATTTTCCTAATTAGAAAATCCTTCCTAATTGGAAAATCCTCTTTTCAAAACTTTTATTGATGGCGCTCCTGGTCCTTAGGCCCTTTCAGATCATCTGAATGCTGAAGCGAGTTCAGTACCGTTCGATGTGAAGAGGGGGCCCCATGCCATCAATCAAAATTTCAAAAAGAGCTCTTTTTGTATACAGTAACATCTGAGAAAAGAAGTAACTGTTATAGCCGATTAATGAGGAGAGGAGGCTAGAACTCGAAAGGAAAATTGAAGAACAAATCCGGAAAGAGCAGGAAAGACGAAGGCAGCTGGAGCTACAGAAGGTGACCGTTTGCATCCTTCATAGTGCATTTCCTTTTTTCTTCGATCTTTACTTTCTTGACGTTAGCGTGAGAGGGTTTGTTGTTTAAGGAACGTGAAAAAGCAGCACTTGAACAAGCTGCTATAGCATCTTTACAATGTGCCCCTCCTCCACCTCCACCTCCTGATCTTGCTGCACCTTCACAAACAGTTTCAATGGAACAATCTCCGGCTACTTCTCTAGCATGTGCTCCAAAAGTTGAGACTTCTGAAACGCCGAGCACGTCTGATGACAGGGTCAATCGAGAAACGTCAGCGAAAAGCTCTACACGTGCAGGTCATAGTACTGAAAGCACCTCCACATCTCATCAAAACGGCAATAGCTCTGCTGCAGAGAAATCAATACAGAGGAATGGAGCTTTATCGGAGCAGCAAGTGAAGGTATTTTCAAGCCTATTTCTGGGTAAACTGTAGATCAACTGTGCATGTTTAAGGTCTCTCACATGGATTCTCTCGCTTCTGATCCAATCCTGGTGGACTTATCTAATTCGCACAAGCAACCGAAAGCTAGCCCGAGGAAGCGCCCGGAGGTGATTCTTTTTAGGTGGTTATTTTAGTACACTGCTACTGTTAGGTTAATATTTTCAGAGACAGCGTGAGAATACCCCTAAGTCAGAAAAAGAGCCAATTTCCAACGGAGAAGCTGTTACTACTTCGGAGGATCGGAAAGCGAAACAAATAAAGCAAGAGGTAGTCTTTTTCAATAGTAAAGTGTCAAAGACAACCCCCGCGCATTAGGGGGTCGTACGAGTAGTCTGCTTCTCAGTCTCCGAGGTTTTCCCACTCGTCGCTTCACAGTAGATAACGAAGGCGCTGTGGCCTTCTTAAGCGGCAGTTATGACCCCTCCCTAATTGCCGGCAGTCATGACCCCAGCTCACCAAAACAATATAGGGTATTTTCTAATACGAGTTCAGCTTTTACACCGTGTTTTTCAATTCCCTTTTACTGTAAGGTGGTATTTACACTGGATAACGCGAGGAAACGATTAGTGAGCGGGGGCCGCAGGATTTCATGTTGCTGCCCTAGAACGAAAAGGTTCGGAGAGCTCGTCTAGAGAGGCTGCCAAGGGTCCTTACTTGGGATATTCTCTATAATTTTTTTGCCTTTTTCTTCCATAGAGAGTCACTCAGTGACTACAGTTTTGTATTGAACGCCACTGTGCGTACTATGCGTTCGCGGGGTTTGGCTTCAGGTTTTGCATCAGCGAATGTGCCTTCGAAACAACATTTTTCATTTTAGCAATTCGTACAGTTACGGGACAGTTTAATTTTGAAACACATTAGTCTTAAACTGCAAATCCAATTCCATTAGCAAATGCTTTTTTTCAGCCATGTTCTCCTGTGCGAAAAGTGGATGAGAGCGTCGAACCTCTTCCGGAAATTCAAATTGAAACGAGAGTCGAGCTGATGAAAACGTATGCTTCCCAACATGAGTGCCTGATTACCCATGAGAAGCTGTCAGTCAAAGCGGAGTTGAATGTGGAGTCTGAAGCTAAGGAAAAGCTGAAAAATGCTGACATCAGTAACAGCAGTCTAGACGCACCTATCAAAGTGGAAATCGATATGGAGGACCATACAGTACCGTGCTCCACAGCCACTATCATAAACGAGTCAGCTAACGATGCCGTTGCCCAAAATGGCACTGCTCCAACGCCTGAAAGCAGCGCTGGTACTGCTATACCCTCCTTGAATGGTAATGTGGATGAAATCGAGCGGAAAGTGTTTGAAGATTCAAAGAAAAGATCAAGAGCACAGCTGCCGAGAAGGAAAAATTGCACACAGATGCCAATATTGGTGGAAAAGAAAGCGAAACGATGAGATCTGATGTAGCGGGGACTTCAAAAGTACTTTCTTCGAAGCACGACGGGACTGCTTCCGCTCTGTTGTCACCTTCGGAGAAAAAGCAGTCTACCCCGGAGAAGAAAGTGCCGAGATCTGAGACTTCTGAGAGGGATCCAAAAAGGGTGAACGGAACACCCAATAAGGTTGCACAAGCCAAAGTTAAAACTGAAGTTCGCGAGGCGACACGCGGTGATGAACGCCTTCCAGCTGAAACAAAGAAAGACCAAGAAAAGCAGAAGGCATCACAGTCACTTGGTTCCGGTTCTCTGTCAAAGGCTAGTTTTCCCTAAACGTTTTTTTTTTTTTCGAAGTATTGCTAGTTATTTATCTGTTGGAAATATTTTCAGTTTTCGGGGTCTTACTTACCCTTCACTGTCTCAATTTTTTTGAAAAGGTTCCATTTATTGTAGAAGTTTATTTTCGGCGTCAGGTCTGGCCACAGAAACAAACTACGTTCGCCTCTGAGTATGGTCCTTGCCCTGTGCGAGGTGAATCGGTCCGCAGCTGTGGTATTGTGGTACTCTTCTCACTGGAAAGCAGAACGGGGCTGTAGGCTAGTAACCTCGGGTATCGTCTTCCGCTCCGCCCCTGACATCCTCAAGATACATCCTTTGCGTCGATACCAAAAGCCAAGCAAAACACGCACTCAAAGAGATGAGAGGGTCGAGACGAGCAGCGCGTCTGGCTATGATTAGGCGTGCGGCAGCGCAAGCGGAGTCGGGAGACTGCGCCGGGGTATCACAACATTCCAAGCACCAGCATTCACGAGTATTTGTGTGCGTTTGGTTTTAAGCTGGTTTCTAAGAAAAAAATGGACCTTCTAGGCACCAACATAGCATCCGTCTAGCACAAAAGAGCTTGGCCCTCGTGCCGAAGGCCTATTCTTGCGTCGGCACCTGGCGTGAATTCAGATGAGGGGAGAGTAGCAAAAGGAGGATAGTGCCTGAGCTATGTAGCTCCATTCACCTCCAAGCGTTTTCTTCAAGGCTCCACATGATATTCCAACGACTCACTAATGATTTATTGTAATACCAGTCGGATCGCACGGCTAACGCCGTGCTCTCCTCCTTCTCTTGAGCTCGGCTTCGCCGAGCTGGCCTGGCTTCGCCAGGCGGCTCCATAATTTTAACGGAACTTTTTCGGTAGTGCGCTGCTCATAAGGCGCTGTAGTGATCGAATCGTAACAGACAGAGCAAGGCTTAGGATCCGCACAACT